ATTTAACTGTTTATTTCTTGTATTGCATATTTATCTGTATATGATTTAACAGTTCATTTCTCGTTATATATCTAATTATCTTTATAAATAAATATATTATATTATCAGGAATTTGGTTTTATCTCTCTAGAGAACCCTGTCTAACACAACTTCACTGTGAAAACCATAAGTGTCCTCCTGAAAAACACATCATCCTTATCACGGTGAGTGTCCTGGGTACAGTCATCCCCATCAATCAATCAATTGCTCAATCCCTTATCCCTCAATCCCTTATCCCTCAAACCAGGCTTGTTCAAATCCTCTAAGTCCTTAGAGACCCTCCTGCCCAGATCTCCCATTTGTTGGCTTCTCCTTGCCTTCATCAATTCTCACATTTACGTAAAAGCATAGTTGGCATGCTTCCTTTATTAAAGTGAAATAAAACTCTGAATCTTATGCTATATTTTGTCTAATTATTAAAGCTTCTACAGCTTCATTTTCTGTTGCATTTGATGAATACTGACTTCTTTTTTTGTTTATTTTCAGTCTCATATTACTTTTATCTTTTGACAGAAACAGGAAAACATGGAGGGCGTAACAGGATATTGTTTTGGTCTCAGTTCTTGATATTGGCTGGGCAATATGCATATAACATATTTCTTTTAAAAATGAAAATAATAATTTTAAAATCTCTCCGGATTCCTTATCCCTCAAACATAAATAGTGGTTTAAAAAAACAAAGAAGGCGAAAAATAAAATTGAAAGGGATATGGAGTATGTAGTGACAAGTGAGTCAATTTCAAATAAAAAGAAAAAAGTTCTTTTTTTATATTCATTTTTCTGGATCTAAGATTCTTAGTTGACATTTTTTTTTCTTTCAGATTTTTCTATATGTCATTCAATTGCTTTTGTACCTGCATGATTTCTGTTGAAAAGTCAGAATTTATTCTTTTTGTAGAATTTATTCTTATTGGTTCCCCTTTGTAGGTAACTTTTGTTTTCCCTTTGCTGCTCTCAGAATTATTTCCTCGTTTTTGATATTGGAAAGTTTGACTATAGTACATTGTGGTGACCAATTCTGTTTGGGGTTCTTTCAGCTTCTTGAATGGTTATTTTCTCTTGTTCTAATGTTAGGGACATTTTCTTCCAGCCGTTCTTAGATTATTTTCTCTCGTTTTCTTTTCTGTTTTCTTCCTATTCTGAAATGTGTATCAGGGGTATATTTTCTCTCTTGGCAGTAGACCACATAATTCTTAGACTTTCTTCAGATTTGTTTGCATTGTTTTTCTTTCATTTTTAAAAATTGTTTATTCTCATAGATTGGAATTGAGAGCTTTATCTTCAAGCTCACCAACTTCACCTTCACTTGCTTCAATTTTATTGCTACATTCTTCCAATGTGTTATCCTATCCACATTCCACATAATTTATGTGAAAAGCCTTAAGCTAGGCTCCTGACCTCTAGTCTACTGGACTCCTTCTGTATTCAAATATCATACAAAAATTATGAAATTCATGAAGTTGACATAGCTCTAATGCTTTAGTATTAATCTTATGAATTTATCTTTGGTTTTCTGGTATGATTTCCAATTTTTCATTTATTCTATTAGATTGCTCTTGTACATTGCTTCCCTGAGGTCTTTTATCTTTTCTGCAGCTCTATCTTTTTCCGGATCCATTGGAAGCATCTGAACATCATTCTACTGCAGTCCCTCACCTTCCTCAGAAAGGTCCCTTGACTCTCTCCTACCCTATCTTGCGCTCTCGTGCACAGTAAGATTGTCCATGGTCTCTAAAACATAATGTTGTTTTTATGTTTGTTTCCTCTTGTTGATCAGATGGTATTGGTGTGAGTAGTGGCCTTTGACCACTAGTTGAGGCTGTTGAAGTTTCCGTGGTAGTCTTGAAATTCTTAAAACTTTCTGAACAAGGAGCGCCTGCATTTTCATTTATGCTTGGCCCCATGCCTCGTGTTCCCTTTCATATTTCATTCACCTAGGGAATTTTCTACACTCTTGTATATATTTCAACAGGGTACCAAGGGGTTCTCAGTCTGAAAGGCCAACTCCAGGGTTGGCTATACCCTAGAAAGCTCTGCTGAAGCCTCAGCTGTGTACAGGAGCCTTAACCCTGATTCATGCCGGCTGATGTCAACAAGCCTAGGGATAGCCCCACACTTAAATTTGGTGGACTTTCTTTCATTCCCTTCCCAGATAGTCAGGGGTAAAAGGGGTGCTAGGCACATCCATTCCCAAAAGCATCGTTGGTTAACAGCATTCATGTGCTCTTCTCTGGTTCCTGGCCCTAGAGTTGAAAGAATGCTAGGGATATTTGGGAAGTTTGATGAGTTCCAGAACTATGGAGATGGTAGGTAAGGACCAGGTGCCCGCCATTACCTCTTTTGAACTGTCTGCACTCATCCCTCTGGGGACTTCTAGTCAGTACTGGAACATTGGCTCTTTGCTGGGCCAGGGAGGCAGACTCTCTAGGCTCTCGGTTTCCTGGGAGATACTCCTGAACCTCGTGCCCTACCCCTACGTTGTCCTCTACATTCTATTTCTTTTTAAACTGTGATCCCTCTTATTTTTTAAAAATAATTTTATTGGGGGCTCATACAACGCTTCTCACAATCCATACATGCATCCATTGTGTCAAGCACATTTGTACATTGGTTGCCATCATCATTCTCAAAACATTTGCTTTCTACTTGAGCCCTTGGTATCAGCTCCTCATGTTTCCCCTCCTTCTCCGCTCTCCCCTCCCTCATGAATCCTTGATAATTTATAAATTATTATTATTTTGTCATATCTTACACTGCCCGACGTCTCCCTTCACCCACGTCCTCTACATTTTCACGCAGAAACTCGGGGACCATTTTTTTGTTTAAGGTTCAATATCGCCACCTACTGGCTCTTCCTGGTGAGGGCACTACTTCCCATGTGCATGTTGTTAATCCCCCTTATTGCCTTTGAGTGGATTTCTATTCATAGGACCCTACAGGAGAGAGTAGAACTGCTTTATAGGATTTCCAAGGCCTTCTTGATGGAAGCAGACGGCCACATAGTCCTGTGTTGATCTGTGGGAGAAATGCACGGCTTATACTCCTGTAAAAAGTTATAGTTTAGGAAACTAACCAAAATCCAGCCATATCTCCGTGGAAGAAAAGACCTGGCAATTCTCTCTCTTAAAGATTATAGTTCAGGAAACCCTGTTGGGCGATTCTGCTCTGTCCTCTAGGGTTGCTATGAGTGAAATCTACTCCACCCTCTACAGTCTTTTAAAACAAACGAATGCCTCACTGCCATTCAGTTGATTCTGACTCATTGCCACTCTGTTCAGCAGAGCAGAACTGCCCGTGGGTCTCTGAAATTGTGACTCTCGATGGGAGTTGAAAACCTTCTCTTTCTCACTTGGAGCGGCTGGTGGTTCCAACTGCTGACATTGCAGCTAGTAGCCCAAGAAGGAATCCGCTACACTACCAGCCAGATAATACAATGCCTTATTCCCATTTCTTCTCCCTAGCACTTCCCACTCCGCTGCTCCATAAGGGCTCTCAAAAAATAAACAAACCTACTTATAGCAACTCTGTATGGACTGCTCCTTCCCACCCTCTGCTAGCAAGCTGCATGCATATGCACAGCTGTTACTAATCCAATCGGTTCACCCAATGCACAGTTCCTTAACAGGTCTGCTTGGAGCCCCCTGTCAGCCTTCGGTGCCCACCTGCAGAGGCAGTGAGGTTGTGAAATGACCTGCAGTTCCGTGAAACTGCAGGCAACAGATAAAGGCCATCTAAAGCACTTGGCACAGGAAGCTCCCCCGCCTCCACCCCGCCCCCCACGCTGGGCTGCTCAGGAGAAACTGCAGGCAACATCTAAAGCACTTGGCACAGGAAGCTCTCCTGCCTCCACCCTGTCCCCCACGCTGGGCTGCTCAGGAGTTGCCAGCCCGGCTTCTACAAAACCAAACAAACCGAAATCATTATACTTAGTCAATTCCGACTCACAGTGACCCTATAGGACAGGATAGAACTGGTTCTGGGGTTTCCAAGACTGTAACTGTTCACAGGAGTAGATTCGAACTGCTGACCTTGCGGTTAACAACAATGCACTACATCACCAGTACTCCTGAAAGGATGACCTAAGCTCAGAGATTCAACAGTGCTCTGCAACCTTCTCACCCTGTGCGAAATGGAGGGGGTGGGGGTGGGGGATGGATTGGCAGCTTTGCCCACCTGGGAAGTCTTGGGATTTTCCCAAGCCAGGACACTTGGTAGGCTAGTCCTCCCCCCCACCCTATCCCCTTAGACAATTGTCGCTCCCCTCCCCTATCCCCCATCTCCCCCATGGGGCCTGTCAAGCTCTCCCCTGTCGCTAGGTCCAGGGATAGTGACAGCTCGCTGCCCTTCTGGTGCCCTCTTTGGGAAAGTTGAAATACCAGGCACCCATACCCAAAGCTCTGCGCTTCCCAGGCACTCCTCAAAGTCGTTGAAGGTGCCAACCCCACCCCTCTCCTGCTAAAACGCCCTGGACCTCCAGAGCCCGCCCCTCCGCCCAGAGCGCTGCAAGCTATGTGACTCCCTAGGAATCGGTGGTGACATCACCTTCCAGAAGAAAAAAAAAAGGGGGGGGGGGGTACCAATACCAAGAGATAGGGAGCCGGCGTGGGGGGTGAACTATGAAGGGGGCGCTCTTTGGGGGCTGTGCATGCTTGGCTCAAGCTTGCCTCCCCGGATTACTAGAGGCCTCGCCCTGCTCTGCGCCCGCGCCCGAGAGCCAGGCGGGGACCGCAGAACTCTGCCAAGTTTACTCATCCAAGGGAGGTCCTTCCCGGCGGGAAAGACTGGTTCGGGAGAACCCAGTAATCCGAGACCGCTGCCCTGGCCCTTCCCATCGGCACTTCCTTCCTTTTTCCCAAAAGTCCCGGGAGGGAGGGAGGGTTCAGCATTTATAAGCGCAGCCCCGCTGGAGGCCTGTCAGAGGCTGCAGGGCAGGGCTGCACTGGGAGGCCCCAGCAGATCCAGTGGTGGACCTCAAGGCGCCCTGAGCCCCCCGCCCTGGCTGGGCCAGCCTGCTCTCGGCACCCACACTCTGGCCGGCGCCTGGCCAGCATGCTCCGAGTCCTGCTCCTCGGCGTGTTGGCTCCCGCCAGCCTGGGGCTCCCTTCGTCTTCTGCGCCGCTCCCCCGAGGCAGCCAATGTGTGGACTCGGACTGCTTCGCGCTCTTCCCGGGCCCGGCGACCTTTCTGGAGGCCAGCGAGGCCTGTGAGCAGCGCCAGGGGCACCTGATGACCGTGCGCTCCTCGGTGGCCGCCGACGTCATCTCGCTGCTGCTGAGCCACGACCCCCAGCGCCTCTGGATTGGCCTGCAGCTGCCGCCGGGCTGCCGGGACCCGGAGGCCCTGGGGGCCCTGCGGGGCTTTCAGTGGGTGACGGGCGACAATCGCACCAGCTACAGCAGGTGGGCCGGGCCGGACGAGGCGGGGACGCCTGTCTGCGGGCCGCAGTGCGTGGCCGTGTCGGCGGCCGGGGCCTCGGCGGCGGGGGAGCCGGTGTGGGGGGCGCTCCCCTGCACGGCCCAGGCTGGGGGCTTCCTCTGCGAGTTCCACTTCTCAGCCTCCTGCAAGCCCCTGGCCGTGGACGCCGGGCCCGCGGCGGCGGCGGGCGTCTCGGACGCGTACAGCACCCCGTTCGGGGCCCGCGGCACGGACTTCCTGGCCCTGCCGGTGGGCAGCTCGGCCTCGGTGGCCGCCCTGGGCTTGGAGCTGGCGTGCGCCGCGCCGGGGCCAGGCTCCCAGGAGGCACGCTGGAGCCGGACGGCGCCCGGAGCCTGGGACTGCCGGGTGGAAAACGGGGGCTGCCAGCACGCCTGCAACCGCAGCTCGCCGTCCCCCACTTGCCTCTGCCCCGCGGACGCCATCCTGCAGGCGGACGGGCGCTCCTGCGTCCCCCGCGGAGCTCACGCGTGCAACAACCTGTGTGAGCACTTCTGCATCCCCAACCCCGTAGTGCCCGGAGCCTACACCTGCATGTGTGAGACGGGCTACGAGCTGGCGGCCGACCAGCACCACTGCCAGGATGTGGATGACTGTCTGCTGGAGCGCAACCCGTGTCCCCAGCTCTGTGTTAACACGCAGGGTGGCTTTGAATGCCACTGCTACCCGGACTACGAGCTGGTGGATGGCGAGTGCGTGGAGGACGTGGACCCGTGCTTCGGCACCAATTGCGAGTACCAGTGCCAGCCCGTGGGCCGAGCCGACTACCGCTGTATCTGCGCCGAGGGCTTCGCGGCCGACCCCCTCGAGCCGCACAGGTGCCGCATGTTCTGCAACCAGACCACGTGCCCCGCGGACTGCGACCCCCACGCCCCGCAGGTCTGTGAGTGCCCGGAGGGCTACATCCTGGACGACGGCTTCGTGTGCGCAGACATGGACGAGTGCGCCAACGGCGACTGCGCAGACGGGTGCGAGTGCCACAACCTCCCTGGAAGCTACAACTGCGACTGCGGGCCTGACTGGACCCCGCCGGGCCGTGACGACCCGGCAGACACAGCAGACACAGGCTCCGGGGAGCCCCCGGCCAGCCCAGAGCCCAGCGCCACCGCAGGCCCTCCGGCTTCGGGGCAGGTGCATTCGGGAGTTCTCATTGGCATCTCCATCGGCAGCCTGTCCGTGGTAGTGGCGCTCTTGGCGCTCCTTTGCCATTTGCACAAGAAGCAAGGGCCCATGCGGGCGGAGCTGGACTACAAGTGTGGGAGCCCTGGCAAGGAAGTAGTGTTGCAGCAAGTGCGCACAGAACCAGCCCCTCAGAAACTCTAAGGGTGAGAAGGCATTCTCTTGGGGCAACAGTGGCGGTGTGGTATCTCCCCACTCAGACAGCCCCTCCCTTCGACCCTCAGAATTGGAGAAGAGCCCCCGTCAGCCCATCCGCCAGGAAGACGGTGGTGGCGAAGTGGAAGGCAGACCGCGCCTTCCTCTGTGATATCCGAAGACAGCTGGGCAGAGGGGGTGCTTTACACTTAAGGCTCAGATAGCAGACTGCCTCTAAGTGTTCGCTTTAGATCCCGGAGTCCACAGCCTTTTCAGGAGACCTGTGGCCAGTGGTATAATGAGTGTAATAGGTGTGTAGGTGACAATCAAAATATTTATTTTTTTATGTATTTAGAATGTTCTCCTTGGATTTCCTCCCCAACTGTCTGTCCGAAATAATCACGTTATATCACACTTTCACTTTTTATGGGGCAGTTAAATTATCTAGCTGACTCTTTGGCGCTACTTCTGACATTTAGGAAGGCAAGCCTCATTCCCCAACATTGCTCAGGAACAGGCTGCCACCCAGCCTAAGTCATCCTACAAGTGTCCGAACTCGACTTTTGACCTACTTGTGAGTATTAACACGCACACGCAAGCACGCACGCCCAACTTGTTGAGCCTTTGCTATTCCCCAGATTTACTCATTTATTTCAGGCGTTTGGAGCAATATGAGTATTAACAAAGGTTAAGCTGTCATCAGCTTTGGTTCAATTAATATTTTTGGAATGAAGCCATAGACATGAAACCCAAGGATATTTTTCAGTGTGCCAAGATTTTCTTTATTGATGTTTGTGTTGTTTTGATTTGGACTGAAAAGTATTCATTGTTGTGAAGCTTCTTAAGCACTTTCTTTTAGTATTTGTTATTCCTAACAGGGTTAGAAATGTGCCCACGACTGCACTAGACTGAGATGAGAGCAGTCCGTCCCGGAGGTGGTGGAGGGGAGCTTGGAGCTGCATGATTCATTACCTTTTCAACTTTCACTGCTCCTCTGTCACTCCTAGACCCAAGGGTGAAAACCAGACCACCTCTACTGGTTATGTGAGATCCAGAGACTTGGGAATGGAACCTGGAGGATGCTCAATTAGGGGCCACCTTGATTCGTTTGAGGTCCGTGAGACTCTTCCCTCAACTTTTAGAGGGGCCGTGTCCATCTTCTGGCAACTCCATTTACTAAGAAAGCTATCCCTGGGCAAGAAAAGCAAGTGGGTTTTCCCTGGTAGTCGGTTTGTATGCAGAGAACTTCAGACTCACTCCGCAGCTCTCCCCTGCCCCCCCCCTCCGCCCCCCATCCTACAGGAGAATCTGTACTTTAACAAGAGCTGCAGGGGTTGCCAGCTCAACAAGGTTTGAGAAATGCCCCAGACAGCTTCTATATTTCTGTCATATATTAAATGTGGGTCAGGAATAAGTAGCAGGCCAAGCCTACTTTACTCTAAAGAAACTGAGGAATTTCCATTTTTCAGCTTTGATTTCTGCTCTGGACTTTGATACACAGGGCAGAGAAGAGCTTGTGGTTCAATTAAGCTAGGACAATGAAATACTTCAATGTATGGGGGGAAAAAAGCATCATATAATGTGTATCTTTTGCAAGGTTTTCCTCTACATATTTGTACATAGCTATTTATTTATTGGCAATAAACCAGGACATAGGTAAAACCCTTGCTTATGATTTTACATAAAGAAAATAAAATGTATTAAAGAAAATAAAATATATTAAACTGTGCTAATGGCTTATGTGAGTATTCACCTCCTCGCCTTTCCTATCACCTCAACGTCACATTTTATGTCATCAAATGGCCACAGGGACAGATGCCCATGAGATGCACTGAAGTCATCTCCCCACTAGACTATTTGTCATCAGGTTACAGCACCATCTCCGACTTTCCAAGTTCTTCCAGATGACGTGTTTCTGCTACAAAATAATGTCTTTGTATCTGTGTGTGCACGAGGATTCGTTTTTCCTTCTATAACCGTAACTCCTTTGTGTAAAAGGTCTTGTGTCTGCACACCTTAAAGTACACGTTAGGATTATTTGCAGGACAATGAGAGAGACATTCCAGCAGGAGCACCTCAAGAATCCCAGCTTTGGATATGATCCGCTCCTAGAGAGATCCGTTCTTTCTAATACCAAGATCTCACCCAAGCTTATTCTCACTTCCATGTCTTTTCAATACTCAGATATCTTGGAGTCTCTTTTTCTGGAGTAATAAAAGCTGACAAAACAGCTTCACAGGGTAAACATTGGAAGGAAATTGAGCCCAACTATTCAGATTTTTTTATACATCTTAATACTGTTTACTTTCTTAATCCAAATATGAACAGTTATTATTATGAACACACAGCTGAAGATTTCGATACCTAAGTCAGATGAGCTTAACAGCTTTATTTTGTTGGGGAAAAGGAGTTGGGGGAGGATGTTAGCTGCTATAGGGATAACAACTCAGTTAAGGAATTTGGTGGGCTAGCAGAAAACCTAATTGGTAATAAGCATAAACCAATTAGTGGGGGCAAAATCTCCACTACCATCAAATCGATTCTGACTCATAGTGACCCTATAGAATAGAGCAATACCCTTTGGGTTTTCAAGATTGTAACTCTTCAGAAGAATGAAGAGCCTCATATTTTACCCACAGAGCAGTTTGTGGATATGAACTGCTGATCTTGTGGTTAGTGGGCCAGGATATAACACTTATGCAACCAGGGCTTCTTAGAAGCACCTTGGTATATATTTAAAAAAATTGCTTTGGCAGTCTAGAAGAGTGAGTAATAACTTAAAAGTTTGCCCTCACTACTCAACCTTCCATTCTTCAAGAGAGTTGGCTGCCAACACCACCTCCCCACCCCCCAAAATCCCATAGCCATCAAGTTGATCCTGACTCACAGTGACCCTATAGGGCTAAGACCAAGTGCTCCCTAGGGTTTCAAGGTTTGTGAATCTTTACAGAAGGAAACAGCCTTATTTTTCTTCTGAGGTTCTGCTGGTGGCTTTGATCCTTCCACTATGTGACCAGAGTTGCCAAGTTGCAAAAGCAAAGGTACTTTATTATAGGATTTCTTCTTTTATAAGATAGTCATCTTCACTAGGAGGCAAAGGGCATTACAGAGGTCTACATACAGGCATGTACGTGTGTATATATATAACGATGGGGAAATAGATCTATGTGCATATATTTATAGGTTTAGTATTAAGGTAGCAGATGGACACTGGGCCTCTACTTAAGTACTCCCTCAATGCAAGAACACTTTGTTCTATTAAACTGGCATTCCATGATTCTCACCTTCCCAACACAATCACCGAAGACAAAGTGGATGCATAAGTAAACGTGGTGAAAAAAAGCTGATGGTGCCCAGCTATCAAAAGATATAGCATCTGGGGTCTTAAAGGCTTGAAGATAAACAAGCGGCCATCTA